ATGCCAGTGTACCAGGCAGACAGGCCCTACTACTCTCAAATTAGCATGGAAGTCCAGAATCTTGAAGTACCTAAGGGGTTCTCCCAGGTACTATTAATAATTCAACATTTGTAAACTGTGCATACATATTCTTCATTATCCTGCCCCCTTATTTTGATGTGGTTATTTTACAGTTGTTTAAATTAATAGAGATAAAATTACCTACAAATAATTTGTTTTGGTATCCATATTGTTGCATTTGAATACTGAAGTGGCTATTCTAGTTGAAATACTGAAATACTGCAATTGGCAGAGAGAAGTAACTTGGAGGTCCTTATTCGGACTCTATAGGAGGCTTGTTTATTAACTACATATCCAAAGGGCAGCATTAGCTTTGCTGTGCATGAAAAGCAATGCAAAGAGGAAATCGTGTGGCTGGGAAAAACTCTATTGCTCCCAAGAACACATAATAAGGATCCAAGAATATTTATTGAAAGAAAGTGGGGTTGTAGAGTCTTGTTCAGATAAAGATCTTATAATTTACTTATTATTAAAAACATATAGAGTCTAAAATAGTTCGTGGTTTCATGGTTATAGAACAAAATGTGATCTTTCATTTGCACAACATCCTTTTCCTTAAGGTGATCTATATGGATCTGCATTTAATTGTTGAAAATTCTCAAATGATCTCTCCAGAGAACATTCCAGTCAGTCTTGGAGATGAGCCCAGGGCCCTGAACTGATTTATGTCTCTTTGAACTGATCTCCACTTTCTCTGTTACCTTAGGATTTCTACTACTAAAGCCTTGTGGTCACTGGATTATAATCCTCCAATAAAGTAATGTGGGCTATGCCAATATTATGAGAATTGTGATATAATACCCCTTGATCCTTGATAGAACCTACAGATAAATCACAAAAAACAATACTTCAGATTATAGCTACAAATATTTTGATTGAATAATATAAATATACAAAGAATTGAAGGATTTGCATTTTTTAAATAACCAAAAGCCAAGAAAATATATATTGCTTTATGCAAAAAAATTAGTTTAAATGGCATTATGTAATTTCCTACTTTCTTCAACCAAAGAATTCTTCTGTGCAATGGGGATAAAGTCTGTGCTAATTTTGCTTCTATAGAGCAAGGATAGATAGGCTTTCATGGAATTGGAAGAGCATGAAAGGGACACAAAGTATTGCCAATGAAGAAATAACTTTGGGAGGAAATGTAAATTCAATTGTAATTTATCTGTGAACTCATAAGATATTTACATATATTCTCAACTGAAATCACATCATAAACATATATTAATACAGTTTTGTTTCAAGAGGAACAAATCATAAATCCTCAAATTTCACTAATACAGATTAAAATAGTTATTTTAATATATCTTTATGCTTTTTCTAATTTTAACTTGTAACTACTCACTAGCAATGGTAAGAACCTTACCATACAGTTAAGAATAAAAATTAAATTAATACAGAATGTAGACTTGTTCTGTAACTCTAGAAGAAAATGTTTATGTTGCTTAGATATTCAAACTGTTTTAAAGCAATTTACTATTACCTAGGGCTACAGACAGCAATTGTCAAGTTTTTTTCAGATAATTCAAGCATAATTTGGAGAAGAGCGATTATGGTGAATTATATTTAGCACTGTTTCTGTTTGTACTTGAAAGTCATTCAACAATTTTTCAACTTTTTAATGCAGTTGAAACTATAAAGTGCTCAAACTGAATAAGCTCCTGTGACCTCTGTTTTTCCAACTTGGGTTTTGCAACTGCTCCCTCGTTCTATCCTTTCCTGCTGGCCTGAGGCTAGGCCCTCTTGATTTGTCAGCTGGACTGTTTCAAGTTTTCTAGGTCACTTACCTGTCTTTAAATGTTGGCACATGCTCTTTTCTTTATGTCCTCCCCCCACCCCGCCCTGTCCCCACCATTGTCGCTATGAGAACTTTGAAAATGGCACAGAGTATTATTTATTGTTTAAAATCTTTTGATAATGCCAGCGACTATGGAATAGAGTCACGTACCTTAACCTGTTTAAAAGGAAAAACCTTTGGGTAAATAAAATTTAGTGGCGTTTGAGAAAGAATCATTCATACATTGGGAAATTGTAAGAACAAGAGAGATGCAGAGAGCTCTGACCTGCCATGTTTTATGTCAGTACCACAAAGCCACCTTATTAGCAGGATGCCTGGCTTTTTAGCATCCTTGCCATCCAGCATAGGTTTTAGAATGAAATCAAAGAATATAAAACAAAGAGTGACAGCAGTGACTTGGGTATTCAGTACAGTCGTCACATCAACACTTTTAAGGCTTCAGAGTCCGCTTATTTCTTCTGTGTCATTATGAACTTTATGTCTGTAGCTGTATGTTTCTACTACTTTGTGAGCAAAACACCGTTTGGTTCAGAGCCAACAAACACTCTTTTTGGGTCAAAAGAACTGTTTTGGCAAGGAAATGAAGGCTACTTCAAAGGATTTTATTAACCAGTCTACACTAAGTATAAGTTCTTCTCTGGAGGTGGATTTCAGCAGGGTAGGGGACAAATCCAGTAGAAAGTGTATGGCTTCTGGGTTTGGGAAAAGTTTTATTTTTCATAAAAAGAGATATTTAAAAATGACACTAAAATGTCATCTTTGTTGTGTGCAAAATGATATTCCTCCTGGCCTTCCTGTAAGCATCGTTGGCTACAGGGAACAGAATGGTTAACATGGCAAAGTAGAAACATGGAAAAGATTTCAAGTCTTGTCATGGATAGGGTATGAAATGAGTCAAAAATGATTTTTTGTTTCTATACACATTACTTAAATTAATCTGCTCCAGGAATAAGCCCCCTAAATAGTTATCTGATACCAAGGGGTCAGCCCTAAAAACATACACATACAAGCAACATAGAGTGTATTCTGCATGCTCATTGTTGTACTCTTATATCTACACACACACACACACACACACACACACACACACACACACACACACACACACACATATATATATATATATATATATATATATATATATATATATATATGATGCCATGAATTGGGCCGTACAAAAGTGGGTGGAGTGAAGAGAAGAGAGTAAATGGTGTGACTGTATTTTTCATTTAAAACATGCCTAGGTGCAGTTTTCTTTAGTGATCATCCTATTTGGGGTTCACAGGTAGATGTGTTTATTGTAGGCTATGTTAAATACATTTCATCAGCATTAACAAATTCTTGGTTGTTATATTTTCAAATGTTCCTTCTATCCCTCTTTCGCCCTTCCTTTGGCTCCAGATCTTTGCTTGTCATAGTATTTGCTAATGTTTTGCCCATCATGGATGCTCTTGCTTGTGCTGGTGTAAAGCTTCTGTGGACTCCTCTATAAGTTCACTGTGTTCAGTGTGCTGATAACTCACCACATGCATGTTTTTGTCTGTGATATAATGACTTCCCATTTTTCTATTCATCTCCTTTGGAAATTTTCCTGATTGATAATGATTACTTTAGAGCTCCTCACGTCTACCTTTGCAGTTTCAATTAGCGTATTCAACATAAGCAATGTTCCTATTCAAACCAATCTGTATCTGCTTCTATTGATGAGCAGTCACATTTCTTGGCTTCTCTCTATATGTCATCACTGTTTATTGCATGTAAAACATGCATTTTCAAGAACAGTAAAGTTTAAAGCAAATGGCAGTAAAACCCAGGAGGTAGACTTGTTTGTATTCCATCAGATCACTTAGAGATGGGCTGAGGTGCTCATGTATAGATGAGTCAAGCTAAAGTTGTTTTATGTAAATCCACTCCACCAAACTTGTCAAATGATTTCAGGTAAGAATCAGGACAGTACCTCCGGCAAGCCTTGGGATCTTAGTGTCTGGAGTACCTCTAAGTCCTTAGACAGCTTAGCACTAGCTTGGGAACAGTAGAAAGGCTCACCATGTTGAAAGCAAACTACCAGGTGGTTGAGTGGCTGATTGACCCTTTCGAATTCAATCTTGTCCCTGGGTCTTTTGTGTTTCAGGAGGTTTTCCTTCCTCTGATGCAACATGCTCAATTTTAGAATGATGGTGTGGCAGCTTTGGTCAAAGCCTGGAGTCTCCATGAGAGGATTCTTTCAGCTGTGGGTGCCTTGATCTAAGATTTAACTGGCCCTTCATGGCTGTGCATCAAGAGATGTTCTATCTGTGGTCTCCTATCATTTATCCTATTCTAGTCAACTACTGCTTCATTTGTGTGTGGGATGCAATCACTTGCCCTGACCTGTGTTTATCATGTCCTCATCAACAGCAAGTTTTCTCTGTCAGTGCTTAATGGAAGAAACTCATTGAAAAATGTTCAGGTGCATGTAAATTGTTTATTGAGCTATTAGCCACTGCATTTCCAACCTCCACACCTGCTTAAGGTGGCCCGCATATTTTCTGTGTGGTTAGATGTTCTTGTTTTACCCATGTCAGCTTTTTATTTCCCTCCAAAAATGAAAGTGACTATGGATCTCGTTTTACCTAGAAAATTTTGCCTCATTCTGGATTTTACTTAAGTTCTTTATTCTAGATTCTTTAGATGCTTAAACAATACCAATAACATGTGGTTTATTCTCAGTGTTAGAAGATTTTTATGATTCTGAATATCTATATTCTAAGTGGAAGAGAGAATCTTTTTTTTTATTAAGAACATTTTTTCATTCATTTTACACACCAATCAAAGATCCTCTCTTCCTCCTCCCACCCCACCCCGAGCCTCCCCTTCCCATACCATCCCCCACTCCCCTCCAGAAGAAGGCAAGGTCCCCCCATGGGAAGGTACATCCAGTAGAGGCAAGTCCAAGCCCTTCCCCCTGCCTCAAGGCTGCATGTGGTGTCCCATCATAGGTAGTGTGCTCCAAAGAGCCCCCTCATGCACCAGGGATGGATTCTGATTCTACCACCAGTGCTGACTGGCTTGAACTTGATGTTACCATCAATACTCTGTTACCATGGACACCACACACATTGACTATAGGCCATAGAAAACTCAAGTTGGTACTGACCTGGTAAATTCTTCCATTCTGGCTAGCTTTCATAGTGTAAGAAGATGCTTGGCAGACTACTGGGGAGAAAAGCCATCAACAGTATCGTCCAGCTATGAACTCTGTGAACCACAAAAATGACAGGATTGGCCAGATACACTGGTTGATACAAGAGTGGCATGAATGCTATGGTGTTAGTCAATAGATTCAAGGCCTACTCCACAGGAAAGATTTAATGCCTAGTACTATAAGCCTGGCCAAGAACCTATGCTTTTTTTTTGGTGGGGGGGAATCATAATCCTCATAACTTTGTTTTGCTAAAGGGACACAGTGTAAAACTTCTACACACTTATTCTTGTACCAATTGAGTAATACAATTCTCATCTCTAATCAGAACAGATTTTTATGAAGCAGATAATGATGAATATAGAGACTCACAGCTTCACAACGTGCATTGTATAAATGACTATGGAATTCCAAGCCCAAAATGAGAGATCTATAACATATTTTCCTCATCACAAGGCTTAGGAAACATCATGGAAGATGGGGAGGAAAGATTTCATAAAAGCCAGAACTTGGGGAAAATTGATATGAAATAATATCTTTTTGAAAATATTTTAAAATGTCTAAATCATAGAAAGAAATCTAAATTACAGTACATTTTCATAGGTAAACACACAAATGTAATTTTTCCACATATTTTTCAACATGTCTTTCTAATAAATATGTACTTGCTTATATTTTAGCACAGGAATACAATTTGATAAAATTCTGTTTATGCATGATATGCATATTTTATATATTATTAAAATATTTGAAAAATGATATTTAATATTACAGACTATTATATTTTATATTTTTTAATTACTTAATTTGCCACATACCATTGGGCTTTCTCAAAGTTTATTGCGGTAACAGTCGTTTGACTGATATCCTTATGTTCCTCAAAGATTGAAATTGGATGTTCATTGAATGTGTGGACGGTCTTTGCACAACTGACTCAGACTCTACTGCTGACTATAGAGAAACAGACACTTTTTACAGGTCAAAGGAAAAAAAGTCAGGGATTTCATGATGGCAGAAATCAGGACCAAATGTAAGCTTTCAAGTTGTAAGAGGTCAGGGTCTCAGGAAGAGTTTAGATTAGGGAAGCCAAGAGGCTGTAAAAGGAGCTAAGTGTAATAGTTAGACAATTTAAATAAAAAGAATCTTAATGTGTAATCTGCTTTCACCCCCATTCATCAGCATCATGTGTCTGCCTCATTCTTGTACTTTTTAAAATTTCTCACATATGAGCAAAGTCTCTATTACCATTCACAAAATTATTAGCACAAAATTAAAACCATCTTTGCTATGTCTCTTCCCTTTACATTCACCATTTATTCACATTTCATCAGTAAATACAGTTGACCTAAATCTCTTCTGACTCTCTCCTATAAATTTCCATCATTGCCAGCCTTCAGAAAGATATTATCATCTTGTTTTTGATAGATACCACAGTCTTCCTAACCACTAGTTCACCTTTACTCACCAACTTGGTTTAAATGTTAACTTCTCTCCATCTAACAATCAGAGAACAAAGTAGTGGAAAGAGTGTGACAGTTGTGTTTAGCTTTCCCATCATATTTCAGTGCCCTGGACACTTCTGTCTGCCTGACAAGGTTCCTTGTGATTAGTTCCTACTTCTTTTTTTTTCTGCATCATATTATATTTTCCACACCCAGCTCTGTTTACTAGTCCATGCAGAATGGCTCTTGAATATCCCCAGTATTGTTCTTACCTTACCTTTGGCTGTAATGTTCTTCTGTCCAGGGCTGAGGTTCCTGAGCACACATCTAGTCTTCAGCCTCCATTCACAACTGTACAATTAGTCCTCATTAGACCCTTGGTCTCTAGTCTTCTATCCCTCCTTTATAGTCTTCATGAGACTATTTCCAACAAGATATTATATCACATCTGCACAATTTGTTCAGCTGCTCATGTTGTCCAGAGTAAATGTTCCACAGTTTTATTAACTGTGTCTTAGTTCTTTTACTCCAATAATACATTTTTATTGAATTAAGAGATTTATTTAATAACTAGGCTTTCCCTATAGTTTTTATATTGCCCTTTAGGGAAGATTTTGTGGAAGATTTTACAAACTTTCACAGGTATGATTTCTATCAGGTTCAGAGTAACAGGATTTATGTTGAGGTCTTTGATCCACTTGGACTTAAGTTTTGTGCATGGTGACAGACATGTATCTATTTGCATTCTTCTACATGTTGACATCCAGTTATGTCAGCACCATTTGTTTCTAAATGGTTGTTACATCACAATGCACACACTCAGACTCACATGCTCAGTTTCTCAGAAAATTGGTAATCAATCTTCCTCAAGACCCAACTATACCATTCTTGGGCATATACCCAAGAAATGCTCAATCATACCACAGAGACACATGCTCAACTATGTTCATAGAAGCATTATTCATAATAGCCAGAACCTAGAAACAACCTAGATGCCCCTCAACTGAAGAATGAAGAATGGATAAATAAATTGTGGCACATATACACAATGGAATACTACTCAGCAGAGAAAAACAATGACATCATGAGGTTTACAGGCAAATGGATGGATCTAGAAAAAAATCATTCTGAGTGAGGTAACCCAGACTCAGAAAGACAAATATGGTATGTACTCACTCATAGGAGGATATTGGATGTGGAACTAGGATAACTGGACTGCTACTCACATCACCAGTGAGGCTACCTGGAAAACAGGACCCCAAGAAAGACAATGACGGCGAAATGGATGAGATCTACATGAACAACCTGGACATGAGTGGGTGCAATGAAGGGCGAGGGTCAAGGGAAAGAGAGCAGGAGAACCCAGCTGGATCAAGAACAGAGAGGGAGAACAAGGAATAGGAGACCATGGTAAATGAAGACCACATGAGAAAAGGAAGAAACAAAG